TAATTTATTTCAGATTAAACAACTGACCACAAACCACTTTTCAACCAGTGATGCTGGAAATGTTTTAAAACAGAATCAGTTCATAAATTTGTGGGCTGACCAAGAAGGTAATAAAGTCTCACTAAATAAAACGAGAAAATTTCAGAAAAAGAAAACAATAAGAAAATAAACCACCCATGGACTTAAGCACTGTTCATTCTTCAAGGCATGTGTTTCCAAGCCCTTTTATTCTTTCCATGCCTAGGGTTGGCATGGCATATATATATATATACACAATTCTTCAAATTTTATAGATTTGTATAATGTCGTATCTTGCTTTTTTAAACCACTGATGTTATAAGCATATTTATGCCACTTCATTCATTTTAGAGACTTAATAATAAATGATCTAGTGGATAATTTATCATCCCCTGATGGAGAGAAATGAGCTTTGCTGAATTTAGAGTTATAAATGACGCTGGGTCGGGGGTCTTTATGTCTGAAGATGGCTCCATATTTGGGCTGTTTCCACAGAACTCTTTCCTAGAAATGTTTTTTCTAGGTTAATGGCTATGAATATTTCTAGGCACCTGACATATTGACACCCACCTCTCAAGTATTTTTATGATCCACAACTAGCGTTTAACACAGCGCCCTAGTCACTCTGAGACTAATAAATAGACAAATGACTGAAACGTGACCTCATGCTTTCTATTCCTCAGCTTCCATTCAGTTCCTTGCCTCTGGGAGGAGGAAGGGTTGTGCAGCCCTCCACAGCATCACCCCATCAACCCTACCCCTGTGGCTATAGCAGCTGAGGAAGCAGAATTGCAGCTCTGTGGGAAAGAATGGGGCCGGAGAGTTCACGTGTAGACCAGTTCTTTTTTTTTTTTTTTTTTTTGTGAGACAGAGGTTCGCTTTTGTTGCCCAGGCTGGAGTCCAATGACATGATCTCAGCTCACCACAACCTCTGCCTCCTGGGTTCAAGTGATTCTCCTGCCTCAGCCTCCCGAGTAGCTGGGATTACAGGCATGTGCCCCCATGCCTGACTACTTTTGTATTTTTAGGAGAGACAGGATTTCTCCACGTGGTTAGGTTGGTCTCAAACTCCTGACCTCAGGTGATCCGCTGCTTCAGCCTCCCAAAGTGCTGGGATTACAGGCATGAGCCACCATGCCTGGCCGCATAGACCAGTTCTTATGAGAAAGGACCAGCTAAGAATAGCTTTGGGTTGACACACACTCCTCTTCACACTCACAGGAGAAACCATTTCCCCATGAAGCTAGAACCAGTCATGAGTTGAGAGTTGAGAGTTAGAGAATCGCTCAGAGATGCTATTCTTGGATATCCTGAGCCCCTGTGGTCACCGGGGACCCTGGGTTGTGCAACACTCAACATGACAGCATCACTATGCTTAAAAATTTCCCTCCTCACCCCCAGATTCCATTTCCCCATCCGCCAGGGCTGCCTATAAAGAGAAGGAGAGATGGCTTCAGACTTCAGGAGGACGCAGGCAGCAGAAAGTGGTCAGTCCCTTCTTGGCTGTGCCAACACTCGAGCCCACATTCCATCACCTGCTCAGAATCATGCAGGTCTCCACTGCTGCCCTTGCTGTCCTCCTCTGCACCGTGGTTCTCTGCAACCAGATCTCGGCAACATGTGAGTCCAAGTTTCGTTGTGCGTATCACCACTCTCTGGCCATGGTTAGACCACATCAGTCTTTTCTTGTGGCCTTAGAGCCCCAAGAGAAAAGAAGGAGCTTCTTAAAGGCTGCCAAACACCTTGGTCTTTTTCTTCACGACTTTTATTTTTATCTCTAGAGGGGTCTTAGCCCTCCTAGTCTCCAGGTATGAGAATCTAGGCAGGGGCAGGGGAGTTACAGTCCCTTGTACAGATAGAAAAACAGGGTTGGAAACAAGTCAGTTTACAAGAGGCAGAATCCAGGGCTGATTACTTCCCACTGGGGTCTGTTGTTCACTCTCCAGCTTACCCTAGGTCTCCCCGGAGCTCTGTCCCTTGGATGTCTTATGAGAGATGTCCAAGGCTTCTCTTGGGCTGGGGTATGACTTCTTGAACCAGAAAAAATTCCCTGAAGAGAGCTGAGATAAGAGAACAGTCTGTTCAGGTATCTGGATCACACAGAGAAACAGAGAACCCAGTATGAAGAGTCAAGGGGAAAGAAGGAAATAGAAACAAAGAGACATTTCTCAGCAAAAACGCCCAAATGCCTTCTGGTCACTTGGTCTGAGCAAGCCTGCCTTCCTCAACCACTCGGGGATCAGAAGCTGCCTGGCCTTTTCTTCTGAGATGTGCCTCAAGCTCATTCTCTTCCTTTCTCTGCAGTTAGTGCTGACACGCCGACCTCCTGCTGCTTCAGCTACATCTCCCGGCAGATTCCACAGAATTTCATAGCTGACTACTTTGAGACCAGCAGCCAGTGCTCCAAGCCCGGTGTCATGTAAGTGCCAGTCTTCCTGCTCGCCTCTAGGGAGGTAGGGAGGGTCGGGTGGGGGCAGAGACAGGCCAGAAGGCCATCCTGGAAAGGCCCAGCCTTCCGGAGCCTATCGGGGGTACACGACACAGGGCTCCGAGGTGTGACCTGACTTGGGGCTGGAGTGGGGCAGGTGTTACAGAGTCAGGAAGGGCTGCCCCAGCCCGGAGGAAAGGGACAGGAAGGAGTCAGCAGGACCCTCTGAGAGCCCCCCGCTCGGAGTCCCTGAGAGAAGCTCTCTAGATGGAGACAGGCAGGGGTCGCTGAGAGAGGAGCAGGCCCTGAGCTGCCCAAGACAGAGAGCGGATGGAGCGGCCATGGAGGGCCCGGGATTCTCCTGCTGGATTCCCCAGTGCTTAACCTTCCTTCCTTCTCCACAGCTTCCTAACCAAGAGAGGCCGGCAGGTCTGTGCTGACCCCAGTAAGGAGTGGGTCCAGAAATACGTCAGTGACCTGGAGCTGAGTGCCTGAG